TGTCAGTTGACGTTACTTATTTCCTCTCTTTTGAATCTGACAATGATCTGGTTTATGAAGTCACGCACAAATGATTGAAAGCCTTTCTGTAGATCATGAATATTACTGACTTTTATTAATCCTTGTTCTGTCATATTGAACATTGACACGAGCAAGGATGTTCCATAAGATTTAAAAGTTAGTTGATGTTCATGTGGATCAAGACGAAGAGAATGGTCACTTTGTCAGAGTAGTTTGCCTTTTAGGTGACCTATAACTTATTTTATTAATTTCTTCTCTGAATTGCACAGGATTAATTAGGGTGATTTTGCTGACTTGTGTGCCATTGTCATTTCAAACTGCCTCAAATAATTTCCCAGATCTGTTCAATTGTTTTAAGCCATGCTCCAGTAACTACGAGTGGACCAAGATGTGAATACTGCAAAACACCGTAAAGTGCGTGTATGTTTTGTACTGGAATTACTGATAAAGATTGTAATTATTGAAAATCACTTCATATAAATACTACATTATGTCAGCTATTGAGAACTTAGGTTTTTCATACATCCGGAGTTGTTATTGTTTTTATAAATAGAGAATACCAATGACTGGAAACATTTCCTTCTAAGAATTTATAACGCCTTTTGTCTTTTAAATGAGTTGGCTATCCTAAATTACTGCTGTGTTATTGGTGTTGAATCTTAACTTTTGATAACTTCAAAGGGTTCATATCACTTATCGAGAAAACATGTCTTCTTTATTTTTCAGCCACAACCTAGATGTATGTGTGAAGGTGAAAATCGGAAAAATGTGTAAACGTTTAATTGATTGGGGACGTCTCATGTACATAAAACATGAGTTAAATCTTCCGAATATCTCTTCTGTGGCCTATACAACATCAGACGTAACACCTGAAAACATTGTGATATGCGCCAGTCGGTAAAAGCCTGGCTAAAACTAAATTATTTGCAATTATTTTTTCATACAATTTCTAATAACATGTGTGCGTAATTAAAAAGATTTAATATTTATACCAAATAAAACTTTATTTCGTATTTAGTCCACCTGTAGCTCTTCTAGAGTTACTGCCAGTCCCAAGCCCGTTTAAAGGGGAAGGTTTGGGCATAATGTTAGCTACCCTATCCTGTAGAAAAGTAACCAGTTAATAAACGCTAACCAGAAAAAAATAATTCAACACGAACGTCACGAAAGTACTACCATACGGAGCCGAAACTTGAAGAACTACAACAACCATCATCAAGAAGGTACAAGTATTTTTAAATAGTTGTCTACGCAAGATACTCAACACCCACTGGCCGGATATCATCATTAACAGCCTTCTGTGGGAGAAAACAAGCCAGCTTCCAGCTGAAGAGGAAAATAGTAAAAGACGATGAAAATCGACAGGACATACATTACGGACCACAAGTATGTTAATTGTAGCTCACATGAAATGTATATTTTTGGTCGTCATGCTCATTTATAAATAGTAGACAACTAAAGTGTATTTTGAATTTACGGTGAAGTGGGATGGAAAATGATTATGATAAACGCAGTCGCAATAACCCTGCGTCCCTATACCTCTGAATAAGGATAAAATTCACTTCATTTACTAACTTATTTTTCTTTTGAGTCGGTTAGCTGTGGTGTATTTTACTAGATTCAGTGTCGTTTTAAACCATGAACACAGATTATCCAATTGTCTTACGTATATACATTCGATGGAGGAATTCAGTGCAAAAGGTGTGAAATATGGGTCCTCAGGATGTGCATGACAGGAGCAATCGGTAGCACATAAAGAGTAAACTATTACAGGACAGTAGTTCAATAGTAAACAAAATTGGTTCTTTGTCGTATTCAGTATTATTTATTTGACCAAAAATGCTGAATCATGTTTAATAAAGTCGACTATGCTACAATTCGTTCATGTTTATCGTACATCTGAATAAATGTATGTGACATAGGAATTCACTCAATACTTTCCTTAGTTGGCTTTCATAACTGTCGTTACACGGTATATTTAGCATTAGCAAAATATGGGTAAACAAACGTTTATTCGTAGTTGATAGTCAGTTTATCAACATCGTTAAAAACCCAGTCGGTGCAGAACCACAATATACCTGATCTAAAAGAGACCAGTTTTGAATATGAGATTCTAGGAATGTGCCCCTGATGCATATATGAAACTCATACTACAGAATCCGTATTGTTTCTAAAATCCAAAATACCAAGATATATCTCTGACCCGTAGTATGAAGACAAATCCATCTGCCTTAACCTAATTCTGGTATCTGACTGGAGGCGCAAAGGTGTTCTAATTGTGGTTTACTGTTGCGCACTACCAAGATCCAAATATGTAATTGATGACTATTTGATCCAGTAGAGCTCACAAACATAAGTTAACGATATATGAAGGAATACGTACATGTATTACACAAGAGATACCCGCGAGTTATCAATGACTGGGTGTTCAGTAGGTCTAGAAATAATGCTAAAATGTGTTTCGCCAGGTAACGTTGAGGAGTGTATGATGATTTCGAAGCTATTTCTACCACCTGGAAGCGAATTGACTTTTTCGGAAAGTTCAGAACTACTTCAACTCTGTAAAGGGAATCATTTTATTTGTACCGACATATTTGTTCTCTTGACAGATAGAGTCTTATACGTTCAAACTCATTGTTTATGATAGTATTCCCTGGAACAATTAGCGCTAAGGATGACCAGTCATGCTATGAGGAATTAACTATTGCATGTATGCACAGAATCAAATGAACCACAACGAGTTGTCACTCTCGTCTAATGAAGTTGTTGTAAAGTAATCATATGTTTCTACAAAACTTTATGGTGGAGGACTTACACTTCATGGGAAATATCTTGGGTCAACATTCCTTAACAGCTCTGGTTATGAAGTCTCTAAGCTCCCAGCTAGAGAATTCTAATCCATTAACTCAATCTGCCATACCTCTCTTGAACGAATTTTTCCCTCTGCTTTCTAGCTGACCTGAGCTTCGTGTATATTGAACCTCTCTCAATCAGAGAAAATCTGACGAACCTTAATCTATTCAACCCGATAAAATCTGACCCAGAAACAATGAAAATTGCAAGCTACATTTTATGTAAGACTTGCATAACCTCTCAGTTTACGGACCAGGACGTAGAAATGCCTGGGATGTCTTTGTTTTGCAACGACAAAAAAAACAGGAATTGGGGGTGGAGTAGCCGTATACATACGATTTTGCTTAAAGGTACACCAAGCTCACAACCATGAGTTTACCAATCTTAATGAATCTGTATGGTGCTCAGTAAGATTTTCTGCCACTTCGAGGTGCCTAGATGGAGTCATCTGTAGGAAGTCCACCGCTGAAATCGAAACTGAGGTTTCCCAACTGCAAGGTCCTAACGGCTCGACCATAACCTTTTGGCTGAACAATACTCTCGGACATTTCAATCGACCCGCATCATCTATACTAACGACAGCTTCATCTGTAACTGCGCAGGACTTTCCGTAGTGAACCTGAGCACTGAACTGATGTTCCGAAAACGGCAGCACTTAAGAAAAAACACTTCTCCTGGCGTAGATTCGGTTCATTCTGCTATATTGAGGGAAGAAGCCTCAATCTTAGCAACATCGCTTAGCGTCATGTTCTCACATTTGCTAAGCCGAGGCGAACTACCGGAAAATTGGAAGCTGGCTCATACCACACGAATTTTCAAAGGAACTCGGCGCAGCGACCGGTGGCTCTTCTCTCAATACCTTCAAAAATCATGGAGTTCCTGATATGCGGTGGTATACTGTCCCTGAACTTCTCACCCCAACAGCATGGTTTCAGGAAAAGTTACCCTTGAATAACCAACCTGCTGACTGAGGTGACAGATGGATAAGCATCCTTGTTCGCAAGGTGAAGGTTGATATAATCTACCTTAATTTCTCAAAAGCTTCTGATAGGGTCACCCATATATGTTTTATCAATAAGCTCAAACGATTGGGTATCAGACCATCTCCAATTTATTGGTTCATTTCATATCTGAAACATCGACATTCTAAGGTCAGGGTTAACTTCACTTTATCTCAGGCTATGGAATGTCCCAGTGGTGTTCCAGGGCTCAGTACTAGGATCTCTTCTCTTTTTGATTTATATAAATGATCTTCCACAACAGGTATCTTCAGAACTATTACTTTTTGCTGATGACGTGAAACTTTGGAGAGAGATACGCAACCAAGACGATAGACGGGCATTTCATGAGGGTCTGACTCGACTTAAAATTTGGGCAAACGATAACGGGCTTACCTTTAACACTTCAAATTGTAAAGTAGTCCATCCGCGACATGTCGCAGACTACAGTTATAACAGGAAACTCCTCTCTAGTACTTAACCTTTACCTATTAGAGTATAGACGTTTTAGAGGTGACCTTCGGATGGCTTACAGTGTCCTTTACACTTCTGGACGCCCCCATTAACACCAATCTAAGCTTAGTCCCAATACAAACCATAGGGTAACACCCAGAAGTTGGAGATACAACATAGCAGAACGGACTGTAGACACAACTTCTACTCCCTAGGAGTTGTAAAATGCTAGAATTCGCTGCCAACTGAACTAGTCCAAGCAACTTCTCAGGAGTCTTTTAAGTGAAACTTGACCTGTTCTTAAGGACTAAGGTAACATCTAATTATGAGATACCGATATCCTTTATGTAATATCTATCATAGTTGATATACCTAGGTTCCTCCTTGGAGGTATTTGTGATCCCCAGCTACTAGACACGGAAGCCTGTTAAGCGAAAGCTTCTTCTATCCCGTCCACAACAATTCAAACCATCTTAACCTCCAACTGCCCAGATACAGAATCAAGGGAACAAACATTTTGTTAAATTCTAAATTCTCTGATAACTTTAATATCAGACCGAATCAATTCAGTTTTATAAATTTGTTTTCAGATATCCTTTTTGCCATTGAATACCTATGACCGGTAATGAAAATTGTTTCCCTCATATAACCTTGAGTCACCATAACTAAATAATACCGCTGAACATGAAGTGGTATGAAAAAAGTATCACTGAGGCTATCCATACTTTAGTAGGTCAACATGACAAACTAAACTTCAGGAATGGTCAGAGCTTATTACTGACATCGAAAAACACATCTATGCTAATAAACCGAAGGCTAATTTTTTTGGGATGACTGAAGATGAAATACGCTTGCTGATAGCCAATTTTTCAGAATCAGTGACTCCAGGTATATTTTGATGCTTTTCAACCATTTTCAGAAAAGAATTTTGGTCTTGATGCTTCAAAAAGTTTCTTTTGGTTGAAAAATTTATAAATTACATGATTGCTATGACGCCAAACAACCAATAAAGGGGAATGTGCGTTGAAAACCATAGACAAAATAATGGAGAAACACGCCCAAATGTCTGCTTTTTCGTTTGTCCACGTAAATTAATGCAGATTCTCCTCTTTGTATCGCTATGTACTTCAAATGCTACTTTTCGCCTAAATATACGTACGTAAACTTATAAGTTTTCGATCTCCTCGTCTTGTAGACAATTTTATGAGTTCTTAGGATATCTCGTAGACATGCGACGAATCTCAGAACTTTCTTCAAGTTTGAGGATCTTTTACACAATTTAAAGTTGTTACAAAAAATCTGTCAAACAGTTTGTGTGAATTTCATGTTTTCTATAATACTTTATCAAAGTTGCCCCTGAATTTCCTAAATATGTGAGGAAATACACTTGTTTTTATTTGACAAGACCCCATAGATGCTTTGGATTTTAGAAACGTTCTCCATGAGTTTTGAGGTTTTCGTAACAATTTCAAAACTTTGGAAAAATTCATTGATTTTCTTCAAGGAAACCTCACACTTTATCGTTTTCTCAGAAAGCATACCGACCTAATCAGAGGTAACTAGAATTCGCTATGCATGTATTCATATTTCCTTTTCTTCACTTAATCTAGCAAATTTAAAGCAACTTTAATATAAACGTCTAAAAACAACTAACAATAACATAAAGAGATATTCAGTAACAAACCTAAAGTGCTTTAAGCTCACCCTTTCTTTGGATCACCATCCACGTCTATTTACTTTATCTTTCGTATCGTTCAAGAAAGCCTGACTCACAACATCCATCGCTCGTGCTATTTGATTTTCTGAACAGGTCGCACTTTAGAACTGTGAAAACAGAACATCCAATAATAAATAAAGACTGAACGCGTACATTCTAAATATGGTTCACTAAAAAACCTAGACAACACTGATGACTACAATAGGTGCATATTGACTGTAACTAAACGGAACAATCACAGGATTCAGTGAGATTACGAAACTGTTGTGTAACTACAAAGTTGTCCATATCGTTAAGATGTATTGTACTGCAGGTTTGTCTGTTAGTGACCGTGAAGTTGTACTTTTTTACAAACTCATATCTTAACTTTTTCAACCTTCTGTAAAGTCTCTTCCGATGGCAGACCATAAAGTTTGTCACTCTATTGCCTACCATCCATCCCCCGTTGCTTTTATTAACTTTGACATTGTAAGTTTAAACTAAGCAGTAGGCTGGGGTTAGGTTGCACAACACGGACTTTGGGATTTTTCCTGAAATTTCACTAAAATTTACCAGAATCTCCCCAAAATCTGGATATTGAGTTTACGTTCACAGGTTAATTGCTTTATCAATGAGTTATCCTTATTTTTTGCTTTCCTTTAAACTTCACACAGTTTTTTCCTCTATCTGACTTAGTCACTAACTTACCATCGACTTGAGGTCCTATCGACGTATTTATACAGATTTCTGCTTTTGCCAGTGGTAAAATTTACTTTTTGCATTCAACTCCAACTTGTGTTTTCAAGAACCGTTTTGTCATAATCCTTAATGGTTGAAATTGTCAGTGGCCCACTCTTCTCAGATCTGTTGAAATATTGTTGTGACATTTTAATTTTTCATCCAACTTTAATTTTGTTTGGAAAAGTTCATTTTGTACGAAAATATAAGTTAAAAGCAGAAATAAGTATCTAACAGAATGAGAAATAAAACTTGTTCCTACAGTTAGACTTACTACTTTATCATAGTACTTTAGAATTTGTGGTGTATATTTTACCATTCCAGTCTATTTCCGAGTACATTCGGAGACCTTTTGTCTTAGTTAATATTCTGTAAGTTGCTGCTATCTGGAAACGTATATTGTATAATTCACTTTTTTCATATCGAGCAACACCAGTCAAATACTCCAGTATAAATGAAAGATACACTCTTGTTGCGTTTCAAGGGAACTGCCATAATTATTGAAGTTTATTTCTGTTGTAACTGTAACTAAAGTGAAAAAGTGTCACGGATATACAGTTAATGTGAACTATATCGTCCATAACGCTTTTTCAATTGGGAATATCAGTGCCAGTTAACCCAAAAATCAGGAATAAAAGGTCCTTAGGTATATTTTAAAAATGAACCATTCATCAAGAAGTATATAATCTAAGCTGTCCAGTTGTTATATGAAATGCGCAAGTCTCCGCACTCAAGCGTGATTTAGTGTGGGTACTTGGCCAAGCGCCTTTAGCTGGAGATTTTTCCAGTAAAATTAGTAAGGTCGACACCGGTGTCGTAGACTTAAGAAACTATTTATTCTAGGAATTTATTTACTTGAAGAGATACGTAAACTAAGCAAACGGTGAAAATCAAATGGTACTGTAATTATGGCTTGAATTTTATAGAGCCGAATGTGATAAACCTTTCTATCTACGCCGCTCAATACCACAGCGTGACTAACGTTTTGTGATATGTAAAGATCATCTGGCTAGTAAATAAGCATATTCCGACTTACCTTACTTTTTAAGGAATTTACTAAAAACTGACGGTAACTTTGTTCGATTCCTGAGTGCTTTCCTTATTTAGTAACAAACAGTTGGTAACCAATTAAGTGACGATTAAAGTGAACTAAGATGTTTTCTGTTGTCACAGTATCGTTTTTATGCTTTGTTGATATATTCTTTGGTAAAAAGGATAGGGCTAGACCTCATACCGAAGCGTGATTTGTTACTCGCTTTTCAAGCTTGGTACTCCTAAATTTGTGTAAATTATTGTCAATCGTCTATAATTTATAAATTAACCCAATGGAAATCCTTGATATTTTTAACTAGTTCAATCTTCCATTCCTTCGAAAGGTATTTTTATACGGTCGCTATTTAGTATAACACGAAATAATATAAATAAGAAGTAAATAGTCAAAAATTTTCTAATTTTCACTTTGAAATTCATGTCATCGGATCCTACTTGCACAGGGAAGTGGGTAGAGGTTTAAATCGTTTGTATTCTATCCTTTATTTGAATAAAGAGAAAAAACTTTTATATATCAGGCTCAGTTTACCGTTATTGCAAAGCATCAGTTATTTCAAACAGAAATCTGAATTTTATGCCACCCACTACTTTTTTAAGAGTCATATGAACGACAATTTACGCTACGTCTAACGATTCAACTATTAAATAACCCAAGTTCCATAGTTATTCAGATTGCACAATTGAAAAATGTAAGATAATCTTTGTAAATAGAATAACCTATTACGTTATATTAATAATTTGTTTGATAAAATACCTTCACCTATGCTGATTTTAGCGTTATCTTTGACATAAATATATTATACAAAGGTTGTAGTCTATTAACCAATATTTGTCATCTGTGTAATTACTACAACACAATGTTTACCTTACGTCAACTCAGTTGATTGAAATGTTACTCAGGTAAACGATAATTTTATAATCAATATCTACTAGTAGTCATTTTGTAATGAACTGCCTTTCTATTGCCTGCTACCTCCGAGGGGACGAATCTATTTTATTGAATACCGTCGGTTGTTTCTAGATCATCCTGCACTAGTAGTATGAGATATTTCGTTATGAAAAGAGGGTTTTGTGGATATTACAATAACTTGATAGTTAAATTCCTGAGTCGATTAAAGCTAGACCATCCTGGAAAGCTTAGAAGCATTGGACGTCCGTTTCATCCTAGTATGAGACTTCGCAACACTGCATATCCATGATCCCGCTCACGAGATTTGAACCCAGAACTTATCGGTCTCGTGGGCGAACGCGCTATTATCTTGTCATACATGTTTTTGTTGATGACCATTTTTCAAATAAATTGTCACGATAACTCATATGTCCAGTTCTCTATGAATTTTGGTAGTAGTTACATGAATGGTGATTTGAACTCGACAAAATGATTATGTGATTATTACTGTATTTCCTCGTTAGTCATATGGTTATGCAATAAGTACCCACAGCTTATACTCATGCAAAAATTGATGTGATTTATTTTACACCACATATTTCAAATTTCGTTTTATTATTTTAGGTAGCAAATATCATGCTATGCTAGTCAAACTAAATCAAATACTTACTAAGAATTTATATAATTCAGTTGAGCATTACATGATATTAAAGCAGCCTACAACGATGCCAAACATGGAAACTCATGGAGAAGCTTTCTTGTGGAAACAATGGGATCAGGAATATTCAGATCGATACTTTAAACTAACCCCAAGTGCATATCCAAATAAATCTGATTTTATTACAATGGAAGCGAATGAAGCGCTAATTTCATTGTTTGAAAAACATACAGAATTTCTGAATAAACTTTCTTCTCGTTATTTTAATCAAACATTTCATAGCTCTCATATACGAAGAAAACTATGGAGTATTATATTGTTATCCAGATGTAAGTATAATTATTCTATGAATTGTAATTTTGATGTAAGTACGACTTGCTGAATAACTTGTTAAATGACCGATTTGCTGTAAAGGACAAACAAGAGTTGGTTACAGGATACTAGATTAATGTATCGCTAGACAATACACTAGAACATGCTACTTGGTCACTTGACTCAACTATTCTACTGATGATCAAGAATCAGATTAGATCAGAATGAGAGTTTATTAGCACACTAAATGATATACAAGTGGCAAAAAGCTGGAATGAATTTTATCACAAAATAATCTATTACATTTAATGTAACCGGATATTTCTGTTTTCGCTCATTGACCAATCATAGTTTAATTTCACTTGATACATCTCAAATCTAAATTCCTAATTATCAAGTGCCAATTGTTTGACGAATAATCCGATGGAGTTTATGGCTAACGGTTCTAGTTTCAAGTCCTGAAGTGAACAATAATTCTGAGATACTGTTACATCTAGCTGATGAGTCTTAAATAAAACGAAATTCGCGTCCTAGATTCCACTACTATCCATCATTATTTTCTGATTATAATGAATCCAATTTTTTTCGTTTAGTTGCTACTATAATTTTTACATATGGTATACTTTTTGTTATAACTTGTGAATCTGTGTGCCTTGTTACTGTATAACGCAACGATACCGCTAATCAGAGAGCAGCGAATTTATCGATCGAATCAGTGATGCATAAACATCTGCGAGCAGCCTAGAGTTCTGATTGGTCTCGCTTCCTGACTAGCCCAGTCGGTTGGGTCCAGAACACCAATCACAGCCTCTGTGATATGAAACATTTATTTCAAACATAAGGAGTTTATATACCAATCAAACAGACCACAACGTACCATAAAACAGAAAATAACATTTGTACACTATTTGGCCAAAAGTGACTGTGAATGAGGGAGATAGTTATTAATAGACAGGCCATAACTCAAGAATGGTAAATCGTATAATAATAGTTCATAGGTCAAAATAAAGCTTATGACAAGAGGGACATGAATATGAACAGTTTAGTTACATAACAATTATACGACAAAAATATACTCATAGTATTGGTCCATAAATGGATCCCAAAAGTTACCATTCATTTTAGTTATCGGGATATAACACTTTTGTCTTCTTTTGTTTTTCTTTTTAACTACTTTTTTATTAGGTAAATCTCAAAGAATAAAACTTGAACAAATAATTCAAATGTTTTCACCTAATCAAAATGAACATATTCTGGTAGAATGTAGAAACTTTTTAAACTCTTGTGTTTCCATGTCTTCTATTAAAGATTCAGTTGGTATGTCGACATTATGACATCGTCATTATTTGTCTTCATAGTATTTCTTTTCTCTTTTCTTTCTTTCTTTTTTCTTTCTTTTTTGTTTTAGGTTGTTTATATGCAATGAATTATTTATTAAAGTTTTATCAAAAGATAATGAATATAAATAACAATGTAAAGCATCATCATCATCATCATCATCATATTAAAATTGTTTCTATATTAGTTTTGGTGATGAAAGATTATTTATCAAAGTAAATTATATTAGAATTCCTAATTGATTTAATATTTTAACTAATCTTCTATTATATATTCTATATTTAAGTAGTATCTATGATAATATTGTTTGAATAGACATAAATTTTATTTATATTAAAGAAAGTTAAACTATTCCAGTCAACTGCAAGATTCAAACTTAGGACTTACTTGTTTCGCGCGCGAGCACTTAACCACTAAACGAAACGGCCGTCTAGTGCTTCCAGATTTTTCATGGTGTTCTAGTTTCAACTGATTCATGATCTTTACTATTGAAATTACTATAATATCCACAAAACCCATTTAATATTATTCTAGTCAACTTGAACAACTCTCAAAATTATCTTGTAATTTTGACTTTTGTTAATGATATATTTAATTATTGACTTATTGTTCAAAATGATATTCAACCTAAATGTATAAGATGCTTTTATGAGGATTATGATGTATTTTTTTAGGTTGCTTTTTGTAAACAGAATTTCGATATGAGCATAAGGTTGTGGAGATTATTATGTTTTTGAATTGAGATCATGAATTGATTGATGTTAGACCAACATCGGAAACCTGGAAGTACTAGACGACCGTTTGGTCCTATTATGGGATTCCTCAGCAGTGTGCATCCTTGATCAGGCTCGCAGGATTCAAAACCAGGGTTTTCAGTCTCGCGCGTGAACGCTTAACCTCTAGACTACTGAGCCAGCCGGCATTTAACGGTGTTAATATTTAATTTCAACTAATCTGCGAAATCGCGCGACCATCTTCCATTGTACTGAGGTAGATACCTGTCTCTACTCGACACGGATTAACTCCACTGGTCACGGATTCTCACTAGAACTTCGAGAATCCTCTCACGAAACTAGTTACTAGTAAGCACATGGTAATTATCAGTAATAATCTCCACAACCCTATACTGATAATTTCGATATGATCAGATAGTTACATTTCTAAGATTCATAAAGTACATATCAAACAATGTCTGTATAAAAACATTGAGCGAATTTCAGATTCTTTCAGTTTTAAATAAAACTTTCCTTCAAACCTGAACAAATATATAAATAATAAATTTATCCTGTTTATATTTTAGCAGTCTATCTATTTAGGATAAAATAAATAGTGGAGAGGTATGAGGCAAAGTGAAATTTAACCGTCCAATTTTTCCAGGCTTTCCACGGTGATCTAGCTTCGATTGACTCATGAATTCAATTATTGGATTGATAAGTAAGAAGTGATTAAATATATTTCAGAATTATATACAAATTAACCATTATCATAATAAGGGTTTGTGGAATTTGTAGAAACTTAATACTTCAATTCATGAGTCGATTAAAGCTAGACCACCATGGAAAACCTGGAAGCACTGAACGGCCGTTTCGTTCCAGTATGAGACTCCTTAGTATTACGCATCCATGTTCATTGTAAGAGAATCAATCAATAAACTGATCTTTAGATGCTGACTGAAATTTATTGAATATGTTTGAATTCCTAGGCTTGTATTTTGTCAGTTTTTTATTGTTGTGAGTTAGCAGAAAATTATATCAGCATTAGCAGTGAAATAGTGCGCTAGTTAGTCTATGTCAGTCAACTAGACGTTAGAACTTCACTAATGTATTCTTTCTATTCGACTATTAATTAATGTCAGAATGGGTTTTGTGGAGATTTTAAAAATTTCAATAGTTGAAATCATGAGTCAATTGAAGCTAGACCACCATTGAAAACCTGGAGGCACTGGACGGCCGTTCCGTCTTAGTATGGGACTCCTCAGCAGTGCGCATCCACGATCCCGCACCCCGCGGGATTCGAACCCAGGACCTACTGGCTTCGCGCGCGAGCACTTAACTATTAGACCACTGAGCCGGCATCCAATGGTGTTAATGTCTAACTTCAACCAATCCACGAAGTTGCGCCACCGTACACCATTGTCTTCAAAGAACAGGAATTCAGTTTTGAAATATCCTACTTAAACTCTAAATACCTTACTTATAACATTTACAATGTATCATTGAGTAATACCGGTTAAATTTTTCTTTAAAGAAAGATTAATTTCCATGATGTTTTCATCAATCAACTTTAATTAGATCAATACTGTTCAAGTTTGAATTTCATTCGAAATTACTAATTGATTTTATTTTCAAGAAATCAACCTCCAAATGTGGAAACTATTGGTGTATTAATTCAAGAATTTTTTGTATTACTATCAACATTACCATCATTTATAACACAGTTGCCAACAATTTGGTTTACTTGTCAATCTTTACAGAAAGTAATACAAAATGAAAATTATAAAATAAATGGCATATCTGAAATGAATAATAATAAAAATATTAAATTTAGTCGGAGTGTTTTAAAACAGTTACGACATATTGATGATAATATAGCCTCTTCTGTTGTGAAACAAGTTTTGTTTGTCAAAGGTAGGTAGCAATAATAATAATAGTAATAATAATAATAATAGATATCATTACCAAGGTTTGATTTGATAATTTCGAATAAATTGAGCATTGGGTAGATTGTTATAAATAAAAATAATATATTTGTAATATCCAATGAGTAGAAAAATGAGATTTTCTGACGTTTCGTGACTTAGTGTAAGCCACTTCTTTAGAGAATAAATAATCAAATCAGAATTAATCTAAGCTAAAATTGATAGTGGCTAGCAGTGGAATCCAGGACGTGCGTTTCACCGCATTTTCGGACCTGTACCTGCATCCTAGAGTTGATGTTCACCTCGGACTTAAGGCTATATAGACGCAATCCGCACAGGATGCACACATACCAACATGAGACTGATCAATGGCAGCCCTAAGTAACAATGGGAAGATACAATTAAAACAACACCAAGTGAATTTAAAATTTATCTAAGTTTAAATAGTACAATGGGACAACAAGAATATCATATGATCGATCAAAAAAACAGGTCTGAATAAATCCATGTCATGTCATTTTGTTTAAGGTGATTCATAAGCGACATGTATGTAAATTTATGTATATCTAAGTGTGCAATGCTAAGGATAGAGTTTAATTTGTAAAATGATAGTGTAAATTGTGAATAATATCAGAGTAGGTGGCTAGGGTAGATAGTCCAAGTAGGATGTATGGCAAGGCCTTCTTTTCTATTGAGAGCAGTAGGATTAAGTATTATATGGAACGCTTCAGCTACTCTCTTTTCTTTGTAATTGGAAAAGCCTTTTTGTTATATCTGACGTCGATTTGGTGGTCATTAAAAATGGCATTAACTGCTATTACTGATTTAATTTGAAGTCTATCCAATTCTACGGGATTATTAGGAGGTTTCTTTGTGTACCCAATATGTTCTTAGGCACGAGTCAGTATTTCTCGAGATGACTCTTCAATATAGACGGTTTCACAATCGACACAACCTAATTTGTAGACGCAGTTCTGTGTTGAAATGAATGGGAAATCTAATTTTTCTACCCATTGGGATATTACTAATGTATTATTTATAATAATAATAATAGTTTAATTTGATAGTGAACATTTTGTTATAGTAAACTAGCATCAGCACTAGTAAATAACAACAGGGATTATAAGTCTTGCAGAAGTAGCTTATATTTTTTGTTTCAACTTCAAATTATGTATGCAAAAAGAATTTATGGTCTACCTGGTACTGCCATGATAATCAATTGAATGCTATCTTTCCATTGCTTTCTTTTTTCGTTCATTTTGGAAATATTTGAAATTTCGTTTCGATTGACTGACCCATAATCTGTAGAAATATTCTTTGCTAAATTTCATTCAATCTTTATAAAACCTTTATGGTTTACTTTGGATGAGTTTTCATTTCTAAAATCTAGTTATCATAACTAGTCTTATTGTTTCGATATAACTCGGTAAAATATTCAACTCCAATTCCATTCAGCCATTTAAGTATTGAAGTTTTTCCATAGTTTATATCAAGGACTGATCCTATTTATAATACCACTAAAAACCAGGAATCTCTAGACAGCTACTTTATCCTAGTATAGGATCACTAAGCAGTGTGCATCCATGACCTCAGAGGGAACAAGCTTTGCAGTGTTTACTGGTTTTCAGTAGTGTTTTAAGATCAGTCAGTGAAGTAAACTATCAAAGTTTAACAATATTTACAAAACTCTTGTACGAATATTATTATCATTGTTCCCATCACTATTATGAATACTTTTTCAGTAATTATTATCACTTCAATCATTTTGTTAACTGTGATCATAACAGTTAGTACATATTTATTGTACTCGGCCATGTCATAGTCTCTCTATCGCTTCGTCTGTTCATCTATAATTCGAAACTATATCAGCGTAGAAAAACCCCATCTGTAGAGCTATTAGTGTTCTTGCTGATTCCAAATTCGGATAGAAGAGAAGGGTTGAGCATGAGGTCAGCAACCCCATCCCACAGAAAGCAACCTTGCTAAAACTTGCTAACCAGTAAAAACAATCTATACCATTTAAACTATGCCCCGGAACTGAAGGATCTTCATTTAGAAGAACTATGATGTCTCATGATAAAAGCCGAGATTCTTCAAAAATTACGAGGCCGGTTCTCCTGTCTGACAAGTAATATTGGCTTATGGAATGTTTGAAAAATGTGGGGGATTGGGAGGAACAATGGAATAGTTGCAAAAAATCGGAGGATCAACTTGAAGGTGCTCGGAATCAGTGGAACTCACTGGACACAAGCTGGGCAGGAAAATATAGACCCAGGAGAGATGCTGCTTTACTCTAGTCACAAAGAAGAAATGCTCCACACACTCAGGAGTTTGTTTTGATGCTGTCCAACGAAGCATGTAAAGCACTTATAGGATGGGAATCTCATGAACCAACGATCATCGAATCAACCTTCAAATAAAAAAATAAAGGAATCACAATGAATGTTATGCACCCACCAGTGATAGCAATGACGATAATAAAGATCAGTTTTACGAGAGGCTGCATTCGACTATAGCGAAGTGCTCAAGAAAGGACCTGAATGTCCTGATGAGAAACCTAAACACCAAAGTTGAAATGAACAACACTGGATATGAAGAATCATCGGACGACAAGGAATGACTAGGAGAAAGGAACAAGAATGGTGACAGGTTTGCGAATTTATGTGTATGAGACTAAATGGTTATGGGCGGTACAATATTGCTCTACAAACGCATACACAATGCTACATGGATCTCACCGGATCACACTACACAGAACCAGATCAACCATATTTGCATCAGTAAAAAATTCACAAGGTCAGTGGAAGATGTTAGAACCATGAGAGGAGCGGACATAGATTCAAATCACCACCTGGTTGTGGCCAAGATGAAACTGAAGCTGAAGAAGCACCGGACAACTGGACAAACAGAATTACAAAGGTTTAACCCAGCCTCCCCTCAAGATACTGACAAACTCAACGAATTTAAGATGGTTCATAACAACAGGTTCCAAGCCCTACAAGATTCACTCAAAGAAGAGAAAATAGCTGGAAAGGGATAAAAAAGCACTAACTTTAACACGTCAAGAAGTGCTGGGCCGCAAGAAGCATCATAATGAAATGGGTCTCTATCGATATCCTTGGAAGGATTTAAGAAAGTAGGTACAAGAAGCCAGAAATTAACAACAGTCGAACAAGAACAAAGAAAGTCAAGGCACAAACAGACTGCACAGACGCAAACAAGCCAGTGATGAGGAGCATTAGGGCCGGCAAATAGAAATATGTGGAAGACCAATTAACGACGGCGGAAAAAGGTGAAAGAGAGGGAAATATGAGACAACGATATGATAAAACTAATAAACTAGCAGGGAAATATAGTAAATCGGTGAGACCAGTCAAAGACAAAGGGGGCAAGCCAATTACTGAGATTCAAGAACAGTGGAACAGGTGGGTAGAACAATTTGATGAACTCTTGAATAGACCAGCCTCACTGAACCCACCGGAAATCGATGCAGCATGTACAGAGCTTCCTATATATTTCATTTCACCAACGATCAAACAAAACATGGTTATCGGAAAAACCAAGAGTGGGAAAGCTGCAGGACCAGACAATATGGCAGCCGAAGCACTGAAATCAGAAATGGAAGTAAATAAACATGCTCCACGTTCTATTCAGGAAGATATAGGAGGAAGAACAAGTGCCAACAGACTGGAAGGAGACATATACTCTTTCACGAGAAGTAGCAGGCCCAAGTAAGCAAATAAGTATCAATGTTTAAAGTAGTAGTAATTATTTCTCATCAATAAATTAAATGACTTTATATGTATTACATACAAAATTACTACTATAACACACTTTATTTATTTATCTAAATCAGAGTATATGTTGAAAATCTAAAGTGCAGAAAATCAAATTCTTTCACTGCATTCCATAATGTTTAATTGTTGTTGTTGTTTTACAAAGGAACCAACTGCATGAAAAATTCTCTTTTACAGATATAAGCACTATTACATGACAATATCTAATTTATGTACGTTTTCTTTCTGATTGTCACTATTCTGTCTGTAGATATGTTAATATAACTGATATTTGGTACTAAAATCCCAAATCTTACGACCTTATTATGAATAAACAAAAACTGGTGATAATTATTTATCTGGCAATTTATTGAAAACGACATATGAACACATCAATTTTTATACGATTTATTTACAGTCAGACTTGTCTAAATTAAACGGATAGGTATTTAACAATAATTAATTCAATGACTTACTATGTGAATACATGTACAATAAAAATACAATTAAACATCAACAATTAACAGACATAACTAATTGATCCGAGGATCGGGAATGCAAGAGCCGGATTCCTACAATTGAAGAACATATGGAACTCAAAACAACTTTCAATCAATATCAAAGTGAGAATCTTCAATACCAACGTCAAGGCAGTTCTACTGTACGGAGCTGAAAATTGAAGAACTACTACAACCATCATCAAGAAAGTACAAGTATTTATAAATAGTTGTCTACACAAGATACTCAACATCCATTGACCGGATACCATCAGCAACAGCCTTCTGTTGGAGAGAACAAACCAGCTTCCAGCTGAAGAGGAAATCCGGAAAAGACGATGGAAATGGATAAGACACACAATACGCAAATCATCAAACTACATCACGAGACAAGCCCTAACTTGGAGTCCTGAAGGAAAGCGGAAAAGAGGAAGGCCAAAGAACACATTACGTTGGGAAATAGAAGCAGATATGGAAAGGATTAATAACAACTGGAAAGGGTTGCCTAGGACAGGGTTGGATGGAGAATGCTGGTGAGCAGCCTATGCTCCTTGACGAGGAGTAACTGGCGTAAGTAAGTAACTAATTGATTGTCACCTTACTACTCCCTAAAATATGATGATTACCTATTATAGTCGATCAATTTCACATATCAACTGCACACTGATCGATTAAATCATCACTCGTCATATCGGTTCTATTTATTGAGTCGTCAGATGTTCAATTTTACAACTAAGATAGTATCTTATATTTTGTGTAGACGAATATGCTTCTCTTCTTTGATCGATCAATCATGACTTACTTTCATTTAGTACATTAAGAATGTTACAAAATGATGTAATAAAATTTTTAAAGAAGTACTTCAATATATTCTGATCATTTACTCAGTTACTTTCGCGTGTTACTCCTAATAAAGGATATGCCGCCGACTAGCATTCTCAGACCCACTCTGTCCTGGGCCTTCTTTCTTAATTCCATCCATTTCTTGTTCATCTTTCTCATGTCTATCTCCATTTCCCGGCGTAATGCGTTCTTTGGTCTTCGTCTTCTCCTCCTTTCGCCTTGAGGATTCCATGTGAGGAATTGTCTTGTGACGTAGTTGGGTGCTTTCCTCAATGTGTGTCCTATCCACTTCCAGCGCTTCTTCTTGAGTTCTTCCCCCACTGGGATCTGGTTTGTTCTCTCCCACAATTGGTTGTTGCTAATAGTGTCCGGCCAATGGATCTGAAGTATTTTGCGTAGACAACTGTTAATAAACACCTGTATCTTTTGTATGATGGCTTTCGTAGTTCTTTAGGTTTCCGCCCCATACAGTAGAACTGTCTTGAAAATCCTGACCTTAGTGTTGGTTGACAGTTGTTTTGCGCTCCAGATGTTCTGATCATTTAGTAGAATATTAATGTAGACAAGTGTTGATCTATTTCAGATATTGATATCATATCGAATTTGACAAATGAAGAAGATATTTGTTCAGAAATTTTCTATACATTTATCGAACCAATAATTCAATCTGTTTTCATTGGTGAGTAAAATGTTTTAATCATTAAGTTGAAAAATGAACCTAATTATATGAATTTCTTAATTTATCACCATTTTTTTAGTTTCAACAAAGGATTGACAGCAGAAAATATAGAAAATTTTAAAAAAATCATTGAAAGCTAAGAAGCACTGGATAACGGTTCCGTACTTTTATGGAACTATTCAGAAGTGTGTATCCACCACCTCATCAGGAATAGAATCAAGATAATTCTGTTTAGTCGTGAACGCTTATCTTTTAGATCATTGAATCAGCATTTAGTAGTATATATATTCGCTATATTCGGTGACTATCTTTCATTCTTTATGGTAGATAACTGTCTCACACCGGATGTGGTTGAACTCCATTAGTCACTGTTTATCACTGGAACTTTTAGAGTGGTATCTTATAGTCACCTTTGAATAACTTCTTAATAGTTGTAAGTTGTTATTAATCCACATCAGCAAAAATCAACGATAACTTTATTTCCTATTATATTTGTTCTTTGCATAATATATTTGGTTCATCAAATACACTGTAGTCGTTTCTCAGTAGATTGTAAGCTTCTCATTGTTGCATATAAATGAATTAAACAGTTAACATAAATAATTAATTGGTCAAAACGTATCTAAAAGAAAAGAAATTATTATAATATGTAGAGAGTTGGGCGACGTGTGCCTCAAGTGTTTGTAAGGCTGTGTTGGTTATTGTTTATTAAGTATATTCCTGTTAGGATGGCTTCAAAAAGCACGAGGAAACCTCCAGAGGCTCTAAAGGAACCTGATAGAACCCTCTAGAGTATCAACGTGCTATGCTGTTATTAGACAATTGTATAGCCTTCCTACTTGCGGATTAGCCGGATTATAAGATAATGTAATAGACAATACTATAAACTATAAGTACCCCTGCTTCTTCCGTCTTTTGATTTGAGACTGTGTGTTTATATACGTTCGAGTGTTGATAGTTGTATACCGTATTCTGCCGTAATCAAGTAGAGGACGTAATAATCTCATGATTTTTTATTTAGCTAAAGGTATTTATTTTAATACTTTTAAATCTAAGTTAATCTACGCCTAACCCATTCAGTATTGAAGACGTCACGATTTGTACCATCTAATATGTGCATTATATTTCTACTAAATTTCTATCAATTTTAAATAAATTGAAACAAAATTATCATCCTACAGTGTCATGAATTAACCGAAGTCAAAAAATCTAAACCATTGAATACCAGCTTATTGGTCTGAAAGGTAAGGACTTCCCTAAAGACTTGAAGGGTCTAGGTTCAAGACTTCGTGGGATCGTGGATGCACGCTTTTGACTAACCTCATACTAGAAAGAATAGATTTACACTAGTTTCTAGTTTTAAATGATTATTTAATTAAAGTCACCAAGTAATGTGAAACACCACAGTTGTAAACGTTTCTATATGTTACGTAGACCACAAAAATTATGGGATGAGTTATTATGCTAAGGGAAATATTTCATAAGATTTGAAAAGTTTTCATGAAATTTGCACAGATTTGCTATGGTTATGTAAATATTGAATCGTCTACATGATATTACATGAAATCTATAAATGGCGAGACTATAATTTATGAACGAACCAATCGGATTCAGGATAACAAGTCTTGGATTTTGGCGCGAAATTCATCCATTCATTAAGCTAAATAGTGTTCTGGTATTTTAGCTGATGTCTGTTCATGATGAAAACCATAAATCTAATTCCTAATCCTAACCATTAACTGTAAATCATAATCTTAATTCTTCAAACTGGTTTATAACCCTCACTTAACCCTAGTAAGTAGATGGGTTTCCTCAAGGTCACTTATGCGTCACTCAAACGTCGTCCACAAATCATAGTCTCACTCAACTGGTACTTTTCTAATACCACTCATCCACATATTTGACGTAATAGTTTCTAAATTCAATATATATTATGCCTTGTTGAAGTTATACTTTTAGATGAATTTATGTAGTATTTGTCACAGATATTAGAAGTGATTACTGAATAGTGTTTCGATGAATAAATTTTAAACAGTCAAAGATACGCAACCTTTAGTGAATATTGTTATAGTCTGTCAAAAACATTGTACTGACTAGTGAATAAAATAAAATCGGATTCCATATGGTTAGGTATTTTTATCAACTACCTGTAAACTAATTATTAACTCACTTGCTATGTACAGATTCGTGTAATTCTTTTCGAACCATAACCTAGGCCTGAACACTGATGGTGCTACCCGGTTGACCAGACCAAAGTAAGTCGGTCGGAGTTGAAACATGCCATTTAGCAACTGTAAATCAAACTTCCTAACTACTCACCCACTGTTCTACTCAGTTTCTTGTAATAAACATAATTAAATACTTAGGATGAAGAAAATGATCTTTCAGTGGGAATGCTGTCTATTTGAACATACATGAGTTTCAGGAAATCTAGCAGCTGAATTCTAAGTATGGATGGCTATATCATAAGGAATGATTTATCTTTCTTAAATCAATAACTGGTCTTAGTTGAAAACACCATTGAAAACTTTATAAACAGTTATATAATCTGCACAAAACCCTATACTGATGATAATCATATGTTCACTAGTGTCAAACTACAAGAAATAATTCCTGAACTGCTGATGAGAAACCGTGATCAGTGAAGTTCAACTATGTCAAATGTGAGTTAGTCAACCACCTCAAGCAACAGAAGATAGTCGAGCAATATATCAATTGAATTGAATTTAACCATGTATACCATTGGATACCATTTAAGTAAATTAGAGTTTAAGAGTAGCAAGATCATTTATGGATATTTCTTAGAAGTTTCATATTAGTATGAAACGGCCATCTAGTACTTTCGGTTTTCAGTTATAGTCACGATTTAAAAAATATGGAAACTCCACAAAACTCTATACTGAAAATAATTTGTGACTGAATATGCATAATATTCAGGCAATATATATTTATAAGCAAAGATAAATAGTGGCTAGCAATGGAATCCAGGACGCGCGTTTTTTCCTATTTGGAACTCAACAGCTGAATGTACCTTGCCAATGTACATGTGCCAATAAGAGACTCATCAATTACAGTCCTAAACATCAACTTCTTGACACGTTGAAGTTAATGCCTCTTTGATACCTTTCCAGTTGTCCTCCATAGTAGTTTCTTCTTCTTTCAGTAGATCCTGTAAGGCTTGGAACCTGTTGTGGAGAGCTATCTTGAATTCATTGAGTTTGTTAGTATCTCGAAGGAAGGTTGCACTGAACCTTTGTAGTGCTGTTTGTCCAGTTGTCCAGTTCTTCTTTAGTTTCAGTTTTAAATTGGCCACAACTAGATGGTGATCTGAAGCTATGTCAGCTCCTCTTCTGGTTCTCACATCTTCCATTGTCCTTCGGAATTTTTTATTGATGCAGATATGATCTATCTGGTTCTCTGTAGTGTGGTTCGGTGAGATCCATGTAGGTTTGTGTATACGTTTGTGTGGAAATATTGTGCCTCCTATGACCAATTTGTTGAATGAACACAGATTTGCAAATCTCTCTCCATTTTCGTTTCTCTCCCCCAGTCCATGTCGTCCCATGATATCTTCATATCCGGTATCGTCTATTCCGACTTTGGCGTTTATATCTCCCATCAGAATGGTGAGGTCTTTTCTTGGGCACTTCTCTATAATTGATTGCAACCGCTCGTAGAATTGATCTTTAATGTCGTCGTTGCTATCATTGGTGGGTGCATAACATTGAATAATATTCATTGTGATCCCCTCCTTCTTTGTTTTGAATGATGCTTTGATGATTCTGGATCCAAGTAAACCATACCAAGTGAATTTAGTACATATTTATGTTTCTTATAATCTTGTTTAACTTAATATAGAACAAACATTCCTTTTTTTTAGTATCTAATACTTACAAATAAATATCATTTTCAAACTATATCCTTTTAGGTTATTTATCTCAATCTACATTATTGTATATATGGGATCAGTTAATGTTATGTATTGCTGGAGCTGAACCAATTGAATCCAATTTGTCATATATTTTAAGTTGTTTCATAGCTATTTTCATTTTTCTATGCTGGATTAGAATACCAAATCATTCTCTATCTGATATAAGTCAATATGAACATATAAATACAATTGATGAACAAAAAGAAATAAGAGGAAAAGAAATGACTTCATTAAATGAACAATTCCTTATAATTGGTCCAAAATTAGAAAAAGATGATTTTCAGTTTTTGGTAAATAATATACTCATGAAAATTATGTTTATGTTTACCGATGAATTTACTATAATTATTGTATTAAAGACGTTTATGAACCTCCTATATCAACCTGCCTCGATTTGCTATGCTCAGTGGTATAAGAGTAGGTTGGAAGAATGCTAAGGGCGGCCAGACTAAAACATGGCACAAGTCCATGAAGTCACTGACAAGTAGACTGAGTCATGTTGGTAGGTGAAGACTACCTGGTTGGGGTCCACGAGATGATAGCAACTGATGGTTATAGAGACCCTGAATGACATGACTCAAAATCGTTTGCAATGGTGTAGGTGCATCCACTCTTTGTGTTCTTCCAAATTCTAATCTCCTGAATCCTCCTTGTCTCTTTTTTTCTCTTCCCAAATTTATTTCACTGGATTATATTCTTTAAATAACATGTCCAAACCCTAATCTTTCCGATTACTGCATATGCTCTTACCACCTCTACCACTACGGGATCGGAATCGACAACTGCATCTTTGTGCTAATGTGGTGTGGCAAATCGAACTGATATATGTACGTACGAAGTTCTACGTTGTTACTGATCGACTGAAGGACTGATATTAACCTTTATACCACAACTGTACCTCTGTGCTAATATGCTATGGTAACTCGAACTGATGTACGTTCGTGCGAAGTTCTATGTTGTTACTGACGGATTGACTGACTGACACTAAAACTCTTTCAGTGTTTTATTCTCACAGAAGTAACATTTATTGTCTAATCATCGAAACTGTCATTTATAACTATAGGTACTAGACAGAGAGATCTTTCACAAAGTAAGTCGATTTATTCATAAATAATATGTTGATTCTAACAGTATTTTCATTACTTTAAAGCTAATGTAATAAATCATAATGAAATCCTAAACAACTCACAGAAATATTCATATTAAAGACTAGCTTTAATTGAATGATTTATTTAATTAGAGTAAAATTACTCCTAACCATCATCTTATCTCAACATAGTTCACGCAATAGTGAGTCACCTAGACTATTGACCATATAGCAACTTGGTCGATAGGATTCGATCTACACTAAGAAGGATCTGACAAACATGATATTGATCACCATCCAGTGATCAATCTATTGTAAAATATGAACAACACGAGAGTTCAAAACTAATAACCAGAAAGAACTATGCACAGAAAGCTTAATACTGTTTTTTCACCTTTCAAGCCATTGTTGTAATCATAACGACATGAAAAAACTTTATAGGAAATGAATAGAATAGTTATGCTAAGCTTCAAATTACAAAAGACCTGTATATTAGTTCCATAAAGGAGGTAAGGATTCCAACCATATTATTTGAATTTACATCAATAGAATAGTAGTCATTTTTTATAATAAATAATGTATCTCAACGGAGTTGAACACGAGAAGACGAGGGGGGACACCCAAATGTATGTGAACACGTAATTACAGAGTATCTCACTGAAATCTGAGAACCATATAGTAAATCGTTAATTTACAAAATATCAATCCATAGTCTCAGATTTCATTGTTCATGCATTTTCATACCAACTGCGTTCCGTTCCCGTTCCTTCCTTATCGATCTACTGAAATGAAGTCTATTCCTGACCAACGTTATATACTACTTATGTCAATATAAGTAACCTAAACAAAAATAGTATTTAAAACATTATATGTATATATTTCAAAATATCTCTTTACTTTTACAATGTCACAGATAAAGAAATATTTCTTCATGGATATTTTCTGTCTATTAACCGGTACACAACAATACAACACTAATAGTTGTCTTTTATCAAATGATGAACTTTGTAAGTGATACAAGAGTTGAATTTATTCAACATGTTATTTTGATGAAGTTTAATAAATAAAAAAAAGTTTAAAAGTGATTTCTAAAAGATCTGGTAATGAATTAGTTCATACGATGTGTATATCAGATTTTGTTATGTTAAATAGAGGCTTAAAAATATTCTCCCGATGATGAAATAAGTTCTTGAGGATAGTATTACGGTTAGTTGATGCCCCCAAATACCCTGGTACTGTTGAGAGTGGGAAGAGTCAGCTCACTCTTTCGAAATCCTTTCAAGTGGTCACGTGCATACAACCACTGACAGAGAAGTCCTACTAACTGTCTTCTCGTGGCGGGGGTGTTGTTTACGAAAGTGAAAAGACGATAAGCGAATGTCTGGCGCTTTAAACGGGTTGGTGAATATGGAGTATCCATCTGCGGTAGTTAAAAAACCTTAACTCCAAACCAATGGTGTACATGGGCTCCAGGATCCTAAGGAAACAAACGGCGTATGAACTGATTGTTGGTCACCGGCTACCACGGAACTACATCTCCTTACGTTGCTCCACTGCCTTATGGATTAGACCTTTAGGTCAAGGGCTCGGGATGTGACCCCCTAAGAAAACCACCTGCTTCAGTTTGAGGACCCGAGCAGTATCCCAGTCCTCACATAAATCGAATGATTTATGTGGTGCATATCTTTTTGGTGCCTCCTTGTACCAGTTTTTATGTGTTTAAATAAATAAATGAATAAGTTGATGCCAACTTTTCTGATTTAGCAACTATACAATTAGTGTTGATTTTGATGAAGCTTAGTTTCAAAATCTTCATTAGTTACAGGGACGAAATAGACAAGAATTGAATTTATAAATGATAGAACTACAATAAGTTTACTTACCTTGTACGAAATTTGTAAGATAAACTTTTCAACCTCTTTAATTAACTTATAGAATTAAAAACACTGTAATGTTAAAAACATAAATTATTACTGTAGATTACTGTTCTCGTTCATTAAAATAGATCTTGTTGCAAAATTATAGCCGTTCTTATTTGTATCAAGTTCAATGAAGTTCAATGGTTAGAACATACTAGAAATGGAAGACCATAACAATTCAATATATTTACTATCTATTTATCCACTAATGATATTCATGAAAATTCAATTCAATGATTGACTTTTGTTTTTCAATTTAAACACCAGTAACATCAACTGAATGGTCATCAATACTGAGAAAGTCTCATCTCATAGATCCTAGTAAACGTAAAGAACAAAGATTACTACATTATGCAGAGTTGGAAAGGTGATTATCTTTGAATTGTATATATATTTTAATATTTAAAACCTGGTAAAACGTTTATTCATTTTTGCACAAAATGTAAACACGTTTCAACTGGGTAAAAGTATACAGAAAATTGATTTACTTGGCAAACAGATTATTTCTGATCGATATCTACTATATTGGTAAATATTAATCATTTAACAGTTGGATTCATGAGTCGATCTAAGCTAGACCACTATTGAAAACCTGGAAGGAACTAGACGTCCATTTCGTTCTAGTATGGGACCCCTCATCAGTGCGCATTTACGGCCACACATGATTGACTCGAATCCAGGACCCTCGGTCTCGCGAGCAAATACAGTGGAGCCCAACCAACTATGTCAGGTAGAGACAGTTATCTGCCTCAGACAATTGATGAATGGTTGCGCACGATCATGGATTGATTGAAGTTAGACATGCCGACCGGCTCTGTGGTCTAGAGGTTAAGTGTTCGCGTGCGAGACCGAAGATCCTGGGTTCGAGTCTTGTGTGCAGGGTCGCGAGTGCAAATTGTGAAGGAGTCCCATACTAGAACGAAACGGCCATCCAGCACTCCCGGTTTTCCATTGAGGTTTAGCTTAGATATATTCAAGAATTCAACCGTTTAAATTTACCAACCAATGTGACTACAAAATAATTTAAATCATCACAAACTTCAATAATAATTTGATTGTTAAAGCAATAAACTGATAAATCAATCTAGACTATTGAATTTATTCAAAATTACAGGTATCTGAACATTATAGATTTGGATTAATTATTGTTGACTTTAAATTTTAGATTACGAAATACTGAAGATCACCTCATTAAAATGCAAGATCAGTTAGATGCTTATAAAACTAGATTAAAAGAAGCATCAGATGAAATTTCTCACAGTAAACGTTTACTTAGTCAATATGTAACAAAACAAGATTATTCACCTAACAAGGTATGTTTACATAAAACTTTGATGGAATACTCTACACATAATAACTTTAGTTATTAATTTATCTAATTTGTTCATCATACTATATTTCAGAAATGTGGATATGTTGACTAGAATTAAAGCTATTTTAATAGAATTATGAAAATAGTGTTTAATCATTAAATATTTATCAGAAGGGGTTTTGTGGAGATTTTAGAAATTTCAATAATTGAAATCATGAGTCCAATGAGGCTAAATCACCATGGAAAACCTAGAAGCACTGGACGGCCGTTTCGTTCTAGCATGGGACTCCTCAGCAGTGTGCATCTACGATCCCGCACCCCGCGAGGTTCGAACTCAGGACCTGTCAGTCTCGCACGCGAGCGCTTAACCATTAGACCACTGAGTCGGCTGGCACCGAACGATGTTAATGTCTAACTTCAGCCAACCCACGAAATTGCGCCATCGTACACCATTGTCTTCAGTGAGCTGATATCTCACAACAGACCTGGTTGAACTCCACTGGCCATGACATCTCACTAGAACTCAAGGAAATGCATCTTGAAGTCAGTCACTAGTGAGCAAATGATTATTAACAGAAAGGGGGTTTTGTGGAGATTTTAGAAATTTCAATAGTTTACACCATGAGTCAATTGAAGCCGGACCACCATGAAAAACCTGGAAGCACTGAATATATTTAGTTAAACTCAAACATTCCCTTGATTGTCTATCATAAATGTATGACAGTTTGTTCACTTATTTATTTTTTTTAAAAGATTGTTTGACCTTAAGAATCAAAAGATGAGTTACACTTTTCCCTTACAGTTTATAAATCAATATACAAGAACTAGTTATGGTTTATTGATTGATAATTTAGTATATTTCATTTGTAGCTTGCAATGGAATCTAGGATGCTTATTTCATCCTATTTGAGAATTTATAATGATGTCCAAACTGTAATCATAACCCCGTACATTTTACTACAAACGCCCAATGTATTGTTTTCTAATCTATTGAATCCTAACAGTCTCTAACTTGTTCAACGGATATGTTGATTACAGTCCTAATTATCAATAATGGGAAATCACGAACCTTTTAGTCTATCATAGTATTACTGTAGTTCATATAAAAATAAATCACTTGTAAAGAACACTTTAATCAATGATCTATCATTCTTTAGTTGTGATTTATTCATTAGTGCAATCCTTCAGCTTTTAAGTATATTAATGAACACTAGCTAGCGGTTATAACATCAGTTTTATCGGCAGTAAAATATACTACTAGGTAATTTTAGGATTATTCACAATAGCACAACTATCACCAGTAGTTAGAAATTGAAAATAAAAGACTTTTTGAGAAATAATTCTCCGTTTTGCAAATTTTGGTAAAGTAATAAGATGGGATTCTCACTTATTGATCAGAATTCAAATTTCTAGACATTTATTTCGGGATAATGTTTTCTATGATCTGGTTGGTTTAACTGTAAAGTTTCCATTGTTTTTCAAAACAAAACCAACCCAAACACCAGTTAGTGACGAGTTGTTAGGATACCTTCACTTGAAAATTATTTTATTGACACTCAATTCGATTGGTCGTTATTCATGCTTATTTGTTCGTTGTCACAGTATACTTTTTTTTCCTTGGAATCATGAATCGTTAAACGTTAGACCATCATCGAAAAACTGTAAGCACTGGGTGGCCGTTTCGTTCTAGTATGGTACTCCTCAGCAATGCCCATCCACAACCCTAGGGCGGGATCCGAATTCACAACATTCGGTTTCACACAAATGCCTAACCTCTAGACCAATGAGCTGGCATCCGATGGTGTTAATGTATAACTTTAACCAATCCACGATTTTGCGCGACCATCTTCCTTTTTTCCGGTGGTCAACTGCCTCATATCCAACACGGTTGAACTCCATTGGTCACTGCTTTACACTAAACCTTCAAGAATTTTCCCTCGAGGCTAATTACTAGTTGTGGTGTATGCTACTGATATCGACAGATATGATTAGTATGTATCACCAGTCGAAAATGGAATGCCTAGCAGCAGAATATTGAGAAAATCAAAGAGAAGAGAATGAGAACAGAGAGTTATTGTTATGGAAATGAAGGAGCAGCAAAGTTTGAGACAATTAATGAATATTTTGCAAATGAAGTATTTACTATATGGTTCTCAGATTTTTTAATAAACGGAATACACCCATTAAGACATTAAATAAGAAAGATTAGTTCAGCGAAGAGTTCTCTTTTCGGCGAATTCATTTCCAAAGCTGTACAATCGCAAATGTATATACTTATTTTTACAGGATGATAATAAACTTCTGTTATACATGGTGACAGCGAGCCTAAATAAACAAAGGTATTAAAAGAAATTTTTAATACAAGGGAAGTTTAATAGTTAATGGCTCAAGTATTCATTGGGTAAGGATGGCTCAACATGATAAAATGAAATGTTGAAACACAGATGAAATGTAATCGGAATGATCGTGGAAATAAAAACAAACCGGTTGGAGGTACAAGATTTGAAGGGAAGATGGAGGGTGAAGCAGGTGGCTGTAAGGGAACAAGAGTATGAAAAAAGAGAAGAAATTTTAATACATTAAGACCATGGTAGAAGAAGAGGTTGTACCAGTCTCTTTTGCACACACAATTCTGGTTTTTCCAGAAGTATGGCTATTGCTTCAGCAATTCAGAAAAGATGCCGTCTAATTGTCTTAGGAAGGCTTCTACTTACCTTGTAGATGACTTTGAACGCAGAGTCTGTCTTGATTGAGTGACCTGTGTTCACAAGGTGTTCGATTATAGAACTTCTTATTGAGCCGTTGCCTCCACTTCTAGCCACGCCAGACAATGTTCTTGAATTCTTTTGGATAAAATACGCATCGAACGACCTATATACACATTGAGTTGGTCAGATGCGATAATTTGTCTTTCAGATTATTGGTGAACAGTGATCAAAAACGAGTATCCTTCGATATTCATTGATAAGAACATGAAGCCGAAAACGCCAAAAACACAAATAATCACAGTAGAAAAGAAAACTTTATACATGAACATCGACTTCAAAGGTGATAGAGCCACATTATATTTTAAAGAAGAGAATTTCTGATTCCTTAAAAAGAACATTCTTCGAAGCAACATTACGAATATTATTCTCCAGTCGATCACTGTTTCCACTTTCCTCAGACGAATATGTATCCAAAATTGTCTACATGTATAAACCATTATATAAAAGTACATTTTGACATTTGACAGTTCATTTATCCTCATTCAAATGAAAATAAACTATGCCAATTGTAATGAAACATTTGTTTATTCAATAGTTTTATATTTATTACGTAACTTATTATTTCTTTGTTTTATCATTTATTATTAATCAAGGTTGATGAAATCAATGATCACAAAATGAATTCATCATTAAGTAAAGTAAAATGGAAATCAAATTTGCATAAAATAACACTTTTAAGAAATGTAGCACAGAATTTTGGCGCGAATATTGAAAATTCAAATCCTTTAAAACAATCACAAGTGATACAAACTGAATATGATTGAATTATTTAAAAATCAACAAAAAAATGTTTGTAACACAATGATTTCTATTTAGTTTAACCATTTTATTTCATTATTCTATTAAAATCGTACTAACTTGCTAATTATCTTCCTACTAATATGGGGTTGTGGAGATTATTAAGTTTTTGATTATGATCATGAACCGATTGATGTTAGACCACCATTGAAAACCTGTAAGCACTGGATGGCCATTTCGTCCTATCGTGGGACTCCTTGGCAGTGTGCATACACGATCTGTGTCGGGTAGAAACAGGTATCTACCTCAGTACAATGGAAGATCGTCGCGAAATTTCATTGACTGGTTGAAGTTAGACATTAACACCGTTGGATGCCGGCCAGCTCAGCGGTCTAGAGGTTAAGCGTTCGCGTGTGAGACTGAAGGCCCTGGGTTGAAATCCCGCGAGCGGCATCGTGGGTGCGCACTATTCAGGAGTCCCACAATTGGACAAAACAGTCGTCTAGTACTTCCAGGTTATTAATGGTGGTCTAACATCAATCGGTTCATGATCTTATGCAAAAAATTATCTTCCTGATGGTCTAGAAGATGTCAGTAATAATATTCAGCTGTTGAACTTTTCTGGTATGTAGGACAAAATAATTTAAAGTAGAAAATAAAAACTGCTTACTCTAGAAAAGATAAACAAATTTCTCTGTTGTATCTCAATGCTAAACAAACGCAAGCAGTGATTAATAAATGAATAGCAAAGTGTGTCATAGTTTAAATTACGAATCGACATTGTCTAAATATAGGACTATTCAGGGATGAAAATCCATGACGCCACCATAGGAAATCATAGCTTGGTCCTTTTTGTAAACGCTTTCCAGTGGTCGTTTAGCTACGACTTGTTCGTAGTTTAAACTATAAGAATTCATCAATCTGCACAAAGCCCTGATGGTTTCTTAATGATGTAGAAAGCTCCTAGTGAACGGACCTCTACAGGCAAAATGGTATTTCAGTTAAAACAAGTCATTATACGTTCTCTGAACAATTTAGCATTTATACTGGGTTATAATGTACAATAAAACAGTCAATGTTAGCTTTCATAAAGAATATTCACCATATATAATAAGAACAGAACCGTTAAATTTGCTACTGCAGAACGACAACGAAAGGATTGTTGATATTGTGATCTTTATCAAAAACTGTGGTCACTAGGAAATATATGAGTAAGCATTATCTTTAATATTCTTTTAGTATGCCTAAAACAAGACTGAAGCTAATTTTGAAGTTAGATTAATTAATGACTGGAAGCTCAAATCACCTCCTTCTACACTGAGTTGAGCCCAATGTTATTTTAAGTCACCACAATAGTTAAGTCAAAGGTAGACATATAGTCTCTTCACGTCATCACAAACCACGTTCTTCAATTTGAATGTAGTTCAAAATCATACACTACGAGTAAAGAAAGATAGGTCACCACTAGTTTTCCTAAGCACCCACCGAAAACTTTACATCTCAGACGATCACCCATCAACAATCATTCAATTAGTTACTATACGCTTACTGTTAATAATCAAATAATCATATGTATGCTCTTAGAATAAAGAGTAGATAAAATAATCTTGGTTCACTTCACATTATATAAATATTTTCAATGAGAAAATTACAGTTTGATTGGAGTATTCAAAATGTTCCAACTTACTTACTTACTTACTTACTTACTTACTTACTTACTTACTTACTTACTTACTTACTTACTTACTTACTTACTTACTTACTTACGCCTGTTACTCCCAATGGAGCATAGGCCGCTGACCAGCATTCTCCAACCCACTCTGTCCTGGGCCTTCTTTTCTAGTTCCCTCCAATTCTTGTTCATTTTTCTCATGTCTATTTCCATTGCTCGGCGTAATGTGTTCTTTGGTCTTCCTCTTTTCCTTTGACCTTCAGGATTCCATGTGAGGGCTTGTCTTGTGACGTAGTTGGGTGCTTTCCTCAATGTGTGTCCTATCCACTTCCAGCGCTTTTTCCTGATTTCTTCCTCCGCTGGGATCTGGTTTGTTCTCTCCCACAGTACGTTGTTGCTAATAGTGTCCGGCCAATGGATCTGAAGTATTTTGCGTAGACAATTGTTGATAAACACCTGTATTTTCTGGATGATGGCTTTTGTAGTTCTCCAGGTTTCTGCCCCATACAGTAGAACTGTCTTGACATTTGTATTGAAAATCCTGACCTTGGTGTTGGTTGACAGTTGCTTTGAGTTCCAGATGTTCCTCAGTTGTAAATATGCTGCTCTTGCTTTGCCGATCCGCGCCTTCACATCTGCATCAGATCCACCCTGTTCCAACAGTTATTCTTAAATTATCACAGTAACAAGTCCTTATTACTATGATTACATCATTAATGAACACATTTATTTTAATCTGTTGACTTAGTAATTGGTCCAATATAGACTTATACATAATATCAGAAGAGGTGTTGTGAAGATTGTAGTAATTTCAATAGTTTCGCGCGCGTGACTGATGGGTCCTGGGTTCGAATGCTGCGAGGCGGAATAGTGGATGAGCACTGCTGAGGAATCACACGATGGGACAAAACGGCCGTTAAGTACGTCCAGGTTTCCCATGGTGGTCTAGCTTCAATTGACTCATGATCTCAATTATTAAAATTACTTGTATATAACTGAAAAATAATACAAAATATCAAACAATTAATTTATTAATACTCTGTAGAACTTATTATTCAATGACTTCATAAATCAATCCAAGAGTATGAATTATTTAAATCTTAGAACAGAAATAAATTAACATTAAAGTAAGGTAACCAGTTTATTTCATTTTTGTATTAGTTTCTTGAATCTTCCCATTAATGTTTAGGACTGAAATTGATCAGTCTCTTTTATTGGCATATATGCACCCTGTGCAGATTATCTCGATATTGCCTTCAGTCACAAGCTTTATAAGCAGCTAAATGAATAACGCGATAGTGTTTGAAGAGAACGGTATTAGGTTTGAGTCACGGATGCTGAAGAGTCCCAAATAGGAAGAAACATACAACCTGTGTAGTGTGTGCTACTGATATCGATAGATATAAATAGTATGTATCATCAACCGGAAGTGAAATACCTGGCAGCAGAAGATTAAGAAAATTGAAGAAAAGAAAACGAGAACAGAAAATGATTGATGTGGAAATAAAAGAACAATGAAGTTTTGAGGCAACTGTTTGGCATTTTTCAGAAGGAACAGCCAAGTTTGAAACAACTGATTACACTTTGCAAAAGAAGTATTTACTGTATGGTTTTCAAATTTTACTAAAAGATTCTGTAATTTTGTATCGAAATACATTCGATTTCCCCCATTCGTACTCTCGTTCACTATATTTGGTATCGCTGCCAACCAGGTGCGGGGGGGAGGGTGCTGTTCTGTGGACGCCGTTGCGAGCCTGGATCTAAGATGTTAGTTGAAGCGGTCTAGTGCAAAGAGGTGACATTGAGTAGAGTGTCTTGGTGAGGCGGCGTTGTCTGTAGTGGGTGCTTTCAGAGGGGGGCATGCTCTACTGACCTCCATCAACTTCACTTTATTGTTTGGTATAAAAAAATACTACTACCACATAATAATAATAATAATAATAATAATAATAAGGCGTTGTCTCTAACATATAAACTAAGTAAGAATAAATGTTCAGTATTCTACACACACAGTATTGTATATGCCAATGTATACAGGATAATATATTTCAAAGATAAAGATGATTTAATAAATAGTTTGTTTCAATATTTATGTCCTCTTTTCAAAACATGAATTACCAATATTTTACTTTGATTGTAAAGTAGTAATTAAAATTTCCAAACATCTACTTATTTATGTATTAAACTTGATATTCAATTATAATCTCAAATGACAAGAATCATTATCTCTTGTCCTTAAATGAACATCTTTATAATGAAAAATAAGAGATTTGTTTGTGTTGGGAAGATTCAGAAAATTCCTTGAAAAAAGCCACACAAAAACATAGCTCTGAAAACGTTAAGTAACATCTTATCCAATTAGTATTCAATAGACGTTTTTCCAGAAACATCTAGACAGTGAAAAGTCACATGTGGCGTTTCTGATTGGATGATTACTTATACTGCTATGTTATATCCTAGTGAAAATTACGAGAACGATTAGTGGACTAATATTATCTATATATTCTTATAGTATAACTATTCAGTAATTTGATTATGTATATCTACATTCCCCTTATGATAACTATTTTGACTTATAATTTATTATTATACGATTTACTGTTCTTAAGTTATGTTCAGCTTATTGATTACCGTCTCCACGTCCACAGCCATTTTTTGGCTTTATTGTGTACAAATGTTATTTCCTATTTTATGGTGCGTTGCTGTCTGTTTGTTTGATATATAAACACAGTATGTTTGAAATACATGATTCACATATTGGAAGCTGTTATTGGTATTCTGGACCCAACTGGACGGGTTAGGCGAGTAAAGGACCATTAATGACGCTAGGCTGCTCATATCGGTCGAACGTCATTGGTTTGGCACAGTACTAAGATTTCATACGCCGTATTTCGGTTGGCGAATAAATCACGTGATACTAGCCGGGCTTAAAGTCACATTATGCTACTATGTTTAGTAACGTTCCAAAAGAAGAGATTAGGCAACCAAATCTAGCGTTCAATTAGAAGACTTATCAATTTGTAATTTACTACTAATGTAGATTTTTGATTATATTCGAAATAATGAATAATGAATCATCATTAGTCTGATAGATTTAATCGACACAAGTTAACTGGAATGATGTAAGTTTTATCATCTAATAACTTTTTAGTCTGGCTCACTCTAACTAAGCAACTATACTTTTCTATTGGTTTAATATATTCTACAATGAATTGTTACCATTAGAAGTTTATATTTAAAAGTATAGATTGAAAAAGAACAATCAGGACATGTTATGATCAACCTACAGTACATCACAGTTTCATGCCAACGATTTATTAATCAACATCAGATATCACTGACCTTGACGATTTACCATAAACAATTTAAAGTCTTGTGAACATTCCTTCATGGTAAATATATATTGAAGAAAATATTTAAATTAAATAGGATTCAGTGTTGTTTCACTAACCCCACATTATTAT